TGGTCATAATCTTTTGGTCTATATAACCTAAAGCTGGCTCAGCTTTTTATGCATTTCAGATTGCAAATGAATCTGAAATGCATAATTGCTTTCCAGACCCAGTTTGAGAAGTTTGGCTTCAAATGTATCTCAAACTATATGCTAATCAAGATAAGGTACTGGGTGCAATCTTTCTGACACCCCTCTTCCCAGTAAAATCAGTGGGTTGTTTTGGGATGGACTTCAGGGGGCCAGGTTTTTACTCAGTATCCTGAATAGATCTGTATTCTGCAATACAACTGCTAGTGGGAGTTGGGATCTGATTATATGAAGCTAGTGAAGCCGAACACGGTGCTATTTACTAAGAAACAATGGCCCTTGTAGAACAGCTCAGAGGATTTTGTTGCAGGCAGTGTCCCCCAGTTATTGTGTAGTTTGCATATTGGGATTTGATTTTGATATAAAGAGTTGTTCTAATACGCCAAAGTATTTCAATAGAGACTACTCTAGAACTAAGTTATTAAATAAGAGTACTTCAAAGTAGGGATGTGAAAGTGTAACCTTGCACATGGTTAGCCAATGAGCCTGGGCTTATTGGTTAACATTCATGGTTACATACAGGATCCCAGTATGTGTGGGGAGCTGCCTGCCCCTCCCACCCCACTGCCTCTGATACAGCATGTAACCACTGAAATTTTCGGTTACTTAATTAGACACATTTTAATATCCCAACTTCAAATGTCCTGTTGGAATATGATTCTAAGAGCATGCTGTTGCTACTTTGGATGGTAAGGGAAATTGTTTGTCCATATATTGAGTCCATATATTGAACTTTGTATGCTCAATAAAACTTCATTGTGTTTAAAATTAAGCAGATGATTTCTATTCAGGCATTTCAACTTCTATTATAGTTGCTCATCAAGAAAGTTATGAAGAAAAAATCTTCACTACGCAAATTAGAAAGTCATAGGACAAATTACTTTAATATCAATATTAAATTTCTCCATAACAGGTTAAATATTTGTTATAGCTTTATATAAGAATGTTGTTCAAAAAATATAAATTTTCATTTTTTAATATATATATATATATATA